GTTCTACACAGGATTATTTACGTCTCTTATCAAGAAAATATATTTTTGCAAGAGAATTTTTCTTTTGTTTTGATTTTTATACATTGTAATTTTTAGAATCAAAGCCAAGCCTGTTATGGTAATGTTAAAGTTTTTCTAATTATTCTTTATTATCTGCAGCTGTGCACGAAGAAGTGGATCATACTGCTGTGGGAGCTGCCATTCACACTATTACTTCCAACCTGCCAGAGATGACAAAGGGTGTGCGTATGATTGCTGCCTTGCTGGAGACCGATAATGAGTCCAACAATCTACTTGGTGCAGCCAAAGTACTTTGCCATGCCTTCTCTGATCTGCTGACAGCTGCTGAACCTGAGAAGAAAGAACCTCGTCAAGGTCTGCTTACTGCTGCATCTCGAGTTGGTGAGGCATCAACTGCTGTTCTCCACACTGTTGATGGCAATCTTGACCATGAAACTCAAGACATTTTGCTGGGCTTGGCCAAGGCTGTGGCAAATACCACTGCAGCTCTCATTCTAAAGGCCAAGGCAGTTGCATCTCGTTGTGAAGACCAGGAGCTGCAAAATGTTGTAATAAATTCAGCCACAGCATGTGCTCTGGCAACTTCCCAGCTTGTAGCTTGTGCAAAGGTTGTTGCCCCTACGATTGACAGCCCAGCTTGCCAAAGCCAGCTGATTGAGGCAGCCAAGGAGGTAGGCCGTGCAGTTGAAGGCATGGTACAAGTATGCCAGCGGGCCACCCAAGATGAGGCACTTCTTAGGGACCTCTCTCAGGCTGCAGGTGAAGTCACCCGTGCCCTTAATGATCTTCTAAATCACATCAAGACGGCTGGTGAACAGAAAGGAAGACTCAGTGTCCATGATGAAGCAGTGGAAACCATTCTTGTATCAAGTGAGAAATTGTTTGCTTCACAGGGGAATGCATCAGAAATGGTCAGGCAAGCAAAGATATTAGCTCAGGCAACCTCGCATTTGATCCAGTCCATTAAGTTTGAAGCTGAAAGCCAGACAGATACTGATTTACAGAACAGATTGTTGGCTGCAGCCAAGCAACTCGCAGATGCAACAGCTAAGATGGTAGAATCAGCTAAGCAGTGTGCTTCAAATCCTAATGATGAGAAGAGACAGTTAGAACTTAGACAGGCTGCTGAGAATGTAAGAATTGCTACCAATGCAGCAGCTAGTAATGCTTTAAAAAAGAAGATCATCAAACGTTTGGAGAATGCAGCAAAGCATGCAGCTGCAACGGGAACTCAGTGCATGGCTGCAGCACAGGGTGCTGGACCACACAACACAAGTCCAGGTACACAGGATGAGCTAATATCTGACTGTAAAGCAGTAGCTGACGTGATTCCACGACTTGTAGAGGGTGTCAAAGGAACAATCAATAATTCAGATTCTCCTCGTGCTCAGTTAGCACTTATTAACTCTTGCAATCAATTCCTACAGCCAGGTACAAAGATGGTTGCTTCAGTAAAGGCTGCCTTACCTACAGTGTCAGACCAAGCTTCAGCCCTTCAGCTTAACAATTCTTCAAAACAGTTTGGTCAGGCTTTAGTGGATCTTAGGTCTGCTATTGGAAAGGCACAGGAGGCTTGTGGATCACTGGAAATTGACTCTGCTTTGGATGCTATTCAGGGTCTGAAAGATGATCTCAGTGACTTGAAGGAAGCTGCTGACAAAGGCACTCTGCGTCCCTTGCCAGGTGAAACACAAGAGAGTGCAGCTCAACATCTTACGAACTCCAGCAAAACTGTAGGCTCTACCATGGCTCAGCTTCTGACTTCCTCTGCCCAGGGCAACCAGCACTTCATAGGCTTAGCATCACGGGATACCGCACTGGCGCTGAAGGAGTTCTCTTCTGCTGTTCGTGGTGTGGTGGCTACATCAACAGACCATGACTTGCGTGACCGTCTCATTCATGCTGCTCGTGAGGTCATGATCAAATCATCAGAACTGATAGAAGAAGCACGTATAGTGGTACAAGGTCCACAGGATGTTGCATCTCAACAAAAGCTTGCCCAGGTGGCAAAGGGAGTCTCACAGGCTCTCAACAAGACCTTCAATCTTTTACCTGGCCAGAAGGATGTGGATGATGCTATTTTGACTATCACAGATTCAACCAATGATTTAGATGCTGGTAGATTCCCACCCACCACAAAACCATATGGTGAACTGCAGTCAGAACTCAGCAATGCTGCAGCTGAACTTAACACTGTTACAACTGAGGTGGTTTCTTCAGCCCGTATCTCAACACAGCACTTGGCCACATCATCAAAGAAATTCTCGACTGCATTTGGTAGTCTGATGGGAGTAGGCATGGAAATGGCTGGTACTACTAAGGACCAAGAAGTTCAGGGGCAGATGGTTGTCAGCCTTAAGAGTGTTTCAATGTCATCATCCAAGCTGTTGGTATCTGCTAAAGCTGTTGCAGCTGATCCCAATGCTCCTAATGCAAAGAACCAACTCGCAAGTGCTGCTCGGGCTGTAACAGATTCAATTAACAACCTTATCAATGTATGCACTTCAGCTGCACCAGGGCAGAAAGAATGCGATAATGCTGTACGAGCCATCCAGTCCATGAGGCCTCTTCTAGATCATCCATCAGAACCAGTGACAGATGCTTCATACTTTGAGTGTCTGGACACAGTTATGGACCGCTCTAAGAGTCTTGGAGATGCCATGACTGGTATTGCCAATCATGCCAAAAAGCTGGAACATGATAGATTTGGCAGTGCTGTTAAAGAAGTAAGTGGAGCCATCTGTGGTCTGGTGGAGAGTGCTGCTCAGGCTGCCTATCTTGTTGGTGTGTCAGATCCAACAAGTGTTGCTGGACGCCCAGGATTGGTTGACCAGTCCCAGTTTGCTCGTGCCTATGAGGCAATTATCACAGCATGTGAAACACTTTCCAACCCCAACAGTAACCAGCAGGAGGTTCTGAGTGCAGCAACCATCATTGCCAAGCATACAAGTGCATTATGCAACAGTTGCCGTGTAGCATCTGCCAAGACAAATAACCCAGTTGCGAAGAGGCACTTTGTACAGTCTGCCAAAGATGTGGCAAATGCAACAGCTCATCTAGTGAAAGAAATAAAAAGTAAGTTCAGTCTTATTAAAAGTTACTTGGTCATAATCTAATAGTGTAAGATAAGTCTATGCATATATACATGTTTGCTATGCTGAATATTAATTGATTTTATACTTGTAGCACTGGATCAGGACTACAGCGATGAGAACCGGGCTCGATGCAGTGCAGCCACTAAACCCTTGCTGGAAGCTGTGGAGAACCTATGCACTTTTGCAAACTCACCAGATTTTGCATCAGTACCAGCTAAAATTTCTAGCAAAGCTCGTGAATCACAAGAACCAATCACATCAGCAGGCAGAGCTATCATCAGTGGATCATGTTCCATGATAGAATCAGCCAAAAGCCTTGCTGTCAATCCAAAAGACCCACCAACCTGGCAGTCACTTGCTAGTCATAGCAAGAATGTATCTGACAGTATAAAGAAGCTTGTGTCATCAATTAGGTATGATTTTCATGTATGGTATAAATTATTGTATGAATAAAACCTTTATAAGTATTACTTTTATTGTTTTTGATATTCAGTTAATATGAGGAATTTTCTATTTTTCTACAATGAACAGAGACAAAGCCCCAGGACAGAAGGAGTGTGATGAAGCCATTGATAAACTTAACATGAACATTAGGGACTTGGATCAAGCATCCTTACGTGTGTTGGACCAGAACCTCCAGCAACAGACTGAAAATTCCTTGCAGGTGATTAGAAGTTTTGTGGTTTGTTGTTTATGTATTGTTTTTTTGGAATTAGGAAATAAGCAGTTGTACTGTTGGTTTGTTTGGAATAATTAATGAGAATACTGTTTTAATTTTACCCTATCTTAGACCTTGAGATGATGTTCCTTTTCAGTCTTAGTGATATTGTCATGTTGGTCTATTGATTAATGAGATGACTTTTATTTGCTTTAGGGTTTCAATGAACAAGTAGAGAATGCTGGACAAGCTCTTCTAAACAATATCGATAAGGTTCGTTCAGCTGCCAAGAGTGAGGCAGAGAAGCTTGGCCATTCCATCACTCAGATGTCAAGCTACTTTGACCCAATGGTCACAGCTGCTATTGGCTCTGCATCAAACATGCTCAACAAGTAAGTAGTTTTATAGAATAACACTTCTTTGTTTATAATGAATAAGATAGGACCTATTTATATTATATATTAGTGTTAGTATCAGCAGAATTCTTTTATTGATATATTTATTTCCAATTCAGCAAACAGCAGATGTGTCTACTGGATCAAACAAAGGCTGTTGCTGAGTATGCTTTGCAACTTGTTTATGTATCCAAGGAGGCTGGAGGCAATCCCAAGGCAATCCATGATCATCCAGATGTGGATGATGCTGCAGATACTATGAAGGAGACACTTCAGGTTAGCTAAATATCCATTTTATAGAGTTCAATGAATGATTACCTGAAATTAATCATCAACCATGTATTGACAACTTATGCATATTTATTTTTATGTTTGTATTAATGTCTTTTTTCTTGCCTGTAACAACAGGAGCTACTGTCAACTGTAGAAACAATAGCCACAGAGGCTGGTGTTGTCTCAGGATTGGTTGAGTCAATTACCACAGCCATGCACAGACTTGAGGATAATGCTGTTGCTGTCTCTGATGACAGTGAGAGCTTTGTTGACTATCAGACACGAATGGTCACAGCTGCCAAAGAGATTGCAAGATTGGCTCAGGATATGGTAAGCACAATGTTTATAGGCTTTGTATTTTTCAATATCTGTGTGGAGGAACTCTAGAATATATGAATAAGGAGAAGAGATCTTAATACAATGAAAAACACAATACCGTGTTGATAATATGGAAGAAAAACCCACAATGCACAAACTAGATTAATCTAGTTTGTGCATTGTGGGTTTTTCTTCCAGAGATCTTAATATTTTTTCTCAGCAAGGTGTAAAAGTATATTGACACCCAGAATTTATTTATATAGTATTACTGATGTATGCAATTTCAGGTTGGAAAGGCAGCCTCAGATGCTAGTCAGCTGGGTAATCTTGGAGCTAGTGTGTCACATCAGTACAGCTCCTTGTCCTCAGACTCTGCTGGGGCCATCCGTCAAACTTCAAATGCAGAAATTGCTACTCGTCTGCGAAGCAGGTAAGCTCAACTTTACTGTTAGTTTATCTCTAAAATTGTAGTATATACAGTATGAAAGCTAAATTGTTATTAAAGAACTCATAAAGAAAATTATTAAGATAGTTTCAAATATATTTAGACCTTGACTTTAATGAGTACTTATTTTCAGTGTGCATGAGCTTGGACAGGCATGTATTGACTTGGTGAAGTCCGGAGGGTCATGCCAGGCTGCTCCACGTGATACATTCTGCCAGCGTGACCTTGCTGAATCTGCTCGCCATGTTGGAGAAAAGGTATGCTTTACAAGCTTCACTTCTTATGGGAATATTACATTTATACACTTTGGATCCTAATAAATGTTTTTTAGATTTGAAATATGTACCAAGTTGTTTCTTGAAAAAACAGTAATAACATTTTGTGTAACTTCAGGCTTCTCATGTTATGGCTGCACTTCAAGCTGGTTCTCAAGGCACCCAGGCTTGCATCAATGCTGCTTCTACAGTCTCTGGTATCATTGGTGACCTTGATACAACCATCATGTTTGCAACAGCTGGTACTCTCAATGCTGAAAAGGAAGGTGAAAATTTCTCAGACCACAGGGAATATATTCTCAAGACTGCTAAGGTAATTTTGGTTCTTATTTATGTACTTGATTACTTTGATGAAAAATAAGATTTTGCTATTATTTAATGGAAGAAAGGCAGATTATGGTCAAGGAAAGACTTTAGCTCATTAAGATTTGATAGTGCAGTGGTGAATGTACTGGTCTTGCAATCTTGCTGACCTGCATTTAATCCTGCTTGCTACCAGGCTTAGGTCTGTATGGATATGTATTTCATAAATCTGTTGAAGGTTGTCACCTATGTGCAAATCCCAAGGAAACCCTTAATATAGACTAGTATTGAGATGCAAATAGTGAATTAGTCATATTTTCACTACTGCAGTGAAGGATGAAGATTATATGTCTTAAGAGACTACCCAAAATATTTTGTGATTTGATATACCTCTACTTTTTGAGATTCTGTTTACCAAAAATGAAATTTAAATGATATATACAGATTGGGGTCATATTATATCAACTTCATATTTTTAATACAGGCTCTTGTGGAAGATACAAAGACACTTGTGGCAGGAGCAGCATCATCACAAGAACAGCTGGCTGTTGCTGCCCAAAATGCTGTAACCACCATTGTTCAATTGTCTGATGTTGTGAAGAGTGGAGCTTCCTCTCTTGGAGCAAATAATCCTGAAGCACAGGTATTTTTCCCATTACATTTTAGTGATACAAACCCATAAATGTAAGATATTTACATACATATTGTACCATGTGATGGTGATAAAAAATTGCATATGAGATGTGAATTAAACAAACATTAAGAGCCCTGACATTACCCCCAACAGGTGATGCTGATCAATGCAGTGAAGGATGTGGCCATGGCCCTGGGTGACCTGATCCATGCCACAAAGGCAGCATCTGGCAAGTCCCTTAACGATCCTGCCATGACCACACTAAAGGAATCAGCAAAGGTATGCATCTAATTTCCTTATTAAATATGGTAATCTGTATTGACTATAAAATGAATGCATTAATAAAGGTGCCAGACTTAATGATAACTCCAATAAACATACACTTGTATCTAATCTTTTAACAATAAGCACTGAGATCTGATAGATGGATGTATGCTCCCTGTCTGTCTGTTATATGATGATGAAATCATAATAATGTGCAATATGTGGGTCAGTGATGAATAAAAGTTGAAGGGTATGAATCCGATGAAACACTCAAAGCATACTTAAGTTTAAAATGCTGATTACCACATTATTTCTTAGGTATTGCTGTACATTGTATCAAGAAATGAATACTGGTGTGAAAAATGCAAATGTTTGAGACTTGAATATTTCTTTTCTTTTTATAAATGGAAAGTGAATCAATAGAATAGAGGAATGGCAATTCATTTAAAGTATGTAAACTTGAAAGTCATAGTGAATAAAGCATTTGATTGATTCTTTTCAAAGACAGTTAACAAACTTGTTCATATATATAATATACATAAGAACTTGTGGCTTTGGGATTACTTCTGCAATATGATTATCAGAAGAGACTGAGAGGAGCAATGATTTCATTACTACAGTCTCTCTTTTCAGTTTTGGTATTCAATACCCTTTTAATATCTAATATTTTAGCTCTTAAGAGTGACTAAAAGCCATAACTTTGATGACACTGCATGCTACCTGGAAGGGTGGACTTTTTCACGTTGTTTCTGTGGGCCTCATGACTGCTTGGGCTGAATCGCACGTTATTTGATCTTCCCCTCGTAAAATTGCCTGCAA